AAACCTACGGCCCGTCCTCTCTCTCTCTCTCTCTCTCCACCTCCGCTACGCGTACACTCCTCCACACAGAGATTTCTATTGAAAAGCAATTCGTTTCCCGTCAACGAACCTGTCACCGCGATGCTTTCATCGAATACCAAAGTTGGGAACGTTGGTCGAAGGGGGAGGGGGAGGAGGAGAGGCAAGAGTCGGTAATACAATAAATAACCTCTTTATCGTTAGCTTCGCGCCGATTAACGATCAACGCTCCTCGGGATCGACGGCGAGGAAAATGGAAAAGGGAGGAAAAAGAAGAAAAGATGCATCCTTCGGACGATCGTTTCGGATCGAGCTGTTAAGTCGAGTCGAAACGAGGTACTAATCGCGCAACAAGTGCAACGACGACCTATCCCCGGTTATCCACCTCGTGACTCGATCGACTCGTGCTCCGCCGTTTAATAATAAACGGGGAGAAGAAAGCCGATGGAAAAGTAACAGTCGATCGAGGAGAAGGAGGAGGAGGGGAGGAGTAACGAAACGATCCGAGGAAGGGATCGAACGCGTTGGCACCGCGCCGACTACGCGGAATCGGAGCCACCGTTAGACCTCGAGGAGAAAATCCACGCAACTTTGGCGACTTGTTGTAACTCTCGTGTAAACAAGAACGATAGACGAGAGAGAGAGGAGGGGGAGGGGGAAGGGGGAAGAGAGGAGGAGGAGAGAGGGAGAGAGAGAGGAGAGGTGGGAGAAGGAGGAGGAGGAGGCGGCGGTGGCCACGAAACAATGGAAATCGATACTCACGTTATCGAGAGGTAACCTGGACAGTCTGCTGCCGACACAGTGAAGCCTGCTGCCGCTGGAATTCCCGATACTGGAATTGCCAGCGAGCGTTCCGTTCCCGGGCGAATTCGTGGGCGGTCCTTTGGCGGGTAATAAACCGTGGCTCCTATGATCGTTGCTGTTGCCCCCGTGCTTCACTGGCTGGCCGGGGTAACCACCCCTGCCTCCGTACGGCGGCTTTCCGTCGGCTGGCTTCACGAAACCACCGCGTTGATGACTCGATGACGACGAGGACAACGACGACGACGACGTCGAGGACGTGGACGACGACGACGACGACGACGACGACGACGTCGAAGACGAGGACGACGAAGACAGAGATGACGTCGAGGACGACGACGAGGAAGAAAGATCGGGGCGAGGCCCTCCCGGTTTCTTGAATTCTTGGGAGGAGGGCGAGCTCCTGGAATTCGCGCCGACCGAGCTGGAACTCATTCGTAGAAACGAGGAGGTCGGGGCAGGGCTCGGCGGTACACCCTCGATGCCGATCAGCCGTTTCGGCTCGTCCAATAGATGTTTCACCAACGAATAGTTACCTAATTTCGATTGTATCTGCTGCGTCGTACTGTCCCGGGCGTCTGGATTCACCTGAAATCATACACGTGCGTTCCGATTATATATATATATATATCTTCTTTCGATCCGAGAGAGAGAGGTTTCGCGGCGAGAGGAGACGACCTACGCGCCTGTATCGTCCCTCGCCAGACGAGATCGATTCGTTCCAACCCTCCAACGGTCGAAATTGCGCGCTACCTATGTACGTAGGATACGTACTCCTCGTAGGGATACGCGAGTGTACGTTACGTGGTAGCGAGCGATAATAATTAATGCGGCGTAACAGCAAGTTTACGACGATGCCGAGGCGGGAGAAGGAGAGATTGGCGTTCGACCGCGCACCATAGGGGGAGCATAGACTTGCGTACAATGTAGACAGACAGACAGACAGACAGCGCGTTTATGATCCGCCGCGTCTCTCCCTTTGTCTTTAGGGACAATGAGATCGAATCGTGGTTTAATAAGGAGGCGGAGAGAGGCCTCCGAGGAAACTTAACGTGATTAATGAGCGCGCTATAAATCACGTACACTCGTTCGTGCGCCCTTTTTTCGCCCCTTCGATCGAGCCGACCACCTTCTTCTCTTTAACGAGCTTCCGCAGGTTCCGTAATTTTCCGAGAAAAACCATTAATTCGTTCGCGCTTCTTCCATCCGAATTTCAACGCTCGATTCTCGATACGAAATAGAGGCGAATAGAGAAAACATCTTGCCCGATGGAAAAAAAAGGAGGAACATTCCTTCCTTCGAATCTCGATCGAGAAACGAATCTCGAATGGAATGGAACGGTTAATTAGGCGCGTTAGAGAGGGATCTCGGGGCGAGAGACGACATAAACCGTAATCCCGCGAGGAACTGGGAGAGGAAAACTTGGCGCGGTTAGGTGACCAGGTCAGGGACTTCCCTTCCACCCAGACCTCGCCTCTCCCTTCTCCTCTCGTTCTCCGCTCTAATCACGCTCGTCCTCGCCTCCGCGCGAAACGCCATCACCCCGAAAACCTCGTAAAACGGTGAAATATGTACACGGTCGTAACGCGAGAGTGTAGGCCGGTCGTCGTTAACCACGACGCGATTCCCTCCAAGCTCCTCACCTTCGAGGCGGCGGTTCACCCAAGGACAACCTCCGTATCCTTTATTCCTCGGATCAAGAACGAATCGAACCGGTCGATCGCTTTCCATCGGCGATCAGCTTCGAGGCGATTTAACGGCCGAGATACGGCTTCCTCCCTCCTTCTCGAGCGTCGAAACAACGTTTAAACGACCGATATATATATATATACGAGCACGCGCGCAAATTCCTCCCGCGAATGGATTAAAAAGCGATTGACGACGGGGCGAGCTTTCATCCACTTTCCACGTTCGAGGAGAGAAGCGCAGGGGAAAAAATCTTTCCTTTCGATTCTCGTGCGCGAGCTCTATCGAGAAGAGAGGAGGAGAAAAAAATGGGGAGAAACGGAAGTTTGTTCAAGGATGGTGAAAAATAGGAGCAAAGAAGGAGAGACAGTTGGCGAATAGCGCTTAAAGTACGTGCGTAAAGTGTAGGCAAAGATTGCTCGCCTCGGAAATTTCGTTTCGCGTAGCATTCTCTCGAAACATGCTCTCTCTTTATCCTTCGAAGAAAATAGCATGGCGAGTATCGTAAAAATTACGCTGCAACGTACGAACGTACTCGGACTGTGGAAAAGGGAAAAAAAGAAAAGGGAAAATATCGAAAAATTTGAGTCGATCCTTTGACTCGAATTCGGTCAAAGGATCGACGAAAGAATCCGGAAGAAGGAAGGGAAGAGAGTACTTTTCTTGCGCGTGCAAAAACCGAATCTTCTGGCCGAGAGTTGGACGCGACAGAAATTACCCCTCGCCATCTGCATCGCCCTCGCGACTCGATATCGCGCGCCACGACGTCTCCATAAATTGCGAGGGAATTCCGCCGAGCGGAGATCCCTCTCCTCCCCGCACACACATTTTCCAACCAAGTCGTCGAAGAGTTTTCATCGAACGTCGCCTTATTTACGGCCGATCTTTGTTGGAACAACGTCCGCCCCCGTTTGCAAATAGCTTTTCAACGTGCTTCTTCTGAACGCGGCGAGAGATACGTTGCAAGAGAGATACGGCGCAAAGAATTTCGAGATGCACAACAAAGGGGGACGCACAACGAAGGGCGGAAAAACCGGGTCGTCCGAGCCGAGTTTAAGCTGCTTACGTTGGAAGGAAATTCTCGAGAGATGGTTCAATCCGCTTGTTGCCCCTCCCCCTTTGATTGTCCGTGAAGGAATTTGGAGCGTCGAGGCCGCAAAGTCGATTGTTAATTACCGCTCGTCGTCGATGTTGTTGCGTTTGCCCCACAGGAGCAACGCACCATCGCGAAGAAGCTAAAGGGGTGGCTGTTGTTTTTCGCGCCTTCGAGGGCTTTCGTTCGAAATGGACGAACGAAAGGCATGGAAGAAGAAAAAGCTCTAGACAAGAAACACGAAGATACATTCGAATCGTTTCTTCTTCGTCCCTTTTCGATATTACGCGGCCTCGCCAGGGATGAAATATCGTCGGAGTTGCGATTCCACGGGGGATGGAGAGGGATTTAAACGAGCCGTGCACTCCTCCTCTCCGCATACGCGCAAGCGTAATGGACAGACTCGGTGGAGAGAAGGAAGAAAGGCGAACGTAACGAAATGTCATCTTCTGCGGTTGTTGCTCGGCGAAGGACGACGCTTGGTACGCGTTGCGGTGAAATTTCTGTGTTTTAGAATCGAGGATCGTCGATCGTCGCGTGTCATTAACGAGTCGACAAAGGAATAGATACGTAAAACGAACAGCGAGAGTTTTAATCGAGTTTGTATCGAACTCGAGAGAAGTTTCGAATCGAAATTCGAAGCGGTGCAGGTCCGCTCTTCTATTTCCTCAAGTAGGAACGCGATATCGGGTTACACACAACCTGCTCGTGTCAAATCGACGAACAAACGAGCAAATGGGATTGATGACGACGAAAGAGAAAACGTTATTAGTCGCGGTAAACGCAACGGTAAATTTTCGTTCGGAATGGTGGACGAGTGGAGGAGCAATAGGATTTCTAAATAGTGGGTTGCGCGGGACGAGTCGAAGGGGTTGGCGAAAACTGGTGGTAAACGGGAATACCTTACAATTTCGCGGAATCTCTGCGGTTGACACTGGTATTTCGCGTAAAACCCGGAGAGGAGAGGAGATTAAATCGAAAAGAAGAGAAAATGGAGGGCGTGTTTAATTAATCCCATCCGTTCGTAATTAACCGAGCGAAGACCGATACAAAGTGGCGCAAAAGAAATGAACGGGGGATCGTTGCAGGAATAGGAGGAGAGGGAAAAAAACGAAGAAAGATTTGAACGTCTCTTCTTCATCTTCTTCTTCCTGCTACTCGGCCACGGCCGAGGTTTCAACAGAGATAGCGCGGATGCAGTTGGCCTCCCCCTTCCCCCCTCTCACGAATTCTCTTTCCAGTCGGCTGCCTCCGTCTGACAGCTGAAAGCTCCGCGGAATAACACACGGGCGGGGGAGTAAATTGTACGCCGCGGAATCTTCTTCGTTTCGGTCGGATTGCAAATGGAAAGATTACGTCGCGTATCGAAAACGTCTCGAGTGCGTCGAGTAAATTTCGATCAATGGCGCGATCAATGGGCGGGGAGCGCGGATTTTGTAAATGAACCCCGAACCGGCGAAAAGTCGAACGCGGCAACGAGCTCGCTCGACGAAGTTCCGGTTGCGAGCCGGATGGGAGAGAAGTTGGTCGACTCGGCAGGGTGGACGAAACCGACGCTCGATCGAGCCGGTTAACGGTAGTCGGATAAACCAGTCGGATTTTTACGCGACCGTGTAACGAAATCGATCGATCGCGTCGAGAGAAATCGTCGGCCTACAAAGGGATGAATCGAGTTAATTAATCGAGAAGTCCTCTTCGAGAAACCGAGGAGAAGCGTTTTATTGGCGACGCGCGTTTCTCTTGCATCGCAGAATGTGCGAGAACGCGTTGAGGTAAAGGAAAAAGAACGAGGGCGAAAAGACTCTCCCCATTTTAACTCCCCTTGGAACTCACCTTTTCTCGAAATTTTGAACGAGGAAATTTATAGGGCGGCGAATAGGCGTTGGCGGGGACCGATACACTCGGGCTGGAGGAAATTCGGTAGGTGGAAACTTTGAGGAAAGAGAGAGAGGGAGAGAGGATGGGAAAGGAGACGATCGACGGGATTCGAGCCGATATTCCACGCGCGAATTCATCTCGAAGGTTATGACGGACGGTCGGTCGGTCGGTCGCGTTCGCGGGATATTAAAAACGGTGCGGGCTGTGTACGCGTTGTTTGCTCTTCTCTTTTGAAATGCCGAAAGGACGGGGGGAGCGCGGCGCAATCGAAAATGGGGGAGAGGTTGATGGAGAACGAGCACCGCGGCTACCAGCCAACCAGGGACAACGAGGGGGCGGAGGGAGAAAGGAGAAAAAGGGCAAAAAGTCGGAGCTTTTACGCGCGCCAAGGACGAAACACCGTCGTCCGCCTCCTTTTCCATTTTAAAACGCTACGTGGCTGGCATCGCTTCGCCCATCCCTCTCCAACCCTCTCGCAACCTTCCACGGCTCACCCACCCTTTCCCTCCTCTATGCGCGTGAAATTCGCGTTAACCGAGCTACGACGACTCCTAAGCTCGTCGAGCCCTCCCTCCCCGCCATTCGTCGTCTATGTACCTTTCCTCTCTCCCTTCAATTCCTCCCTGCTTCGCCTTACCTTCGTTCGGGGCTCGTCGAGTTAATTGCCCCGTCTACGCCACAAATATTTTTTTCCCCTCCGCAACCCGGGCCACGCCGGCCGCCAATTCAATTCGACGGCGGTGCACAATCGCCGTCGCGCGTTTTTTTAACCCGCCACCACCACTCTGTCCGCAAACGCTCGTCGAACCCGTATCAAAAGCCGTGTCGAGGGTGTCGGGGGTTCGATCGTTTCGCGGGAGGAGGAGGAGCAGGAGGAGGAGGAGAAGGAACGATTTAATCGATTACGCCCGGAATATATTTCGTTTCAACG